CATTTAGGAAGGGTTTTGAAAGGTTTTGAACAAGATTTTATATTCTGTCCATCTTGAACCAGTTCAAGTTAAACCTGTTCGATAAATCTTGAACAAGTTCAAGATGAACAAAATGTAAAATCTTATTCAAACCCTTTCAAAACCCTTCCTAAATGTTCTCATTACCTCTCAAAACTTCTTATCCTTTACAATGGACCTTCCAACCTTCAATCCCAATACACATCTGGTCTTATCTTTCCAAAAATAGAAACCATTGTGATTGAAAACAAAAACAGAGTCGGTCTATATATATACAAACAGAGAGAGGAACAAAATTATAGCAATGACACAAGATTCAGACAGGCATTAAAAGTGTTGGTGTTCTAATTTTATTCAGTGATTTTATTTTTATTATTATTTTATTCTGTTACTAAACTTACTAAGTACATAATTGATGATGATTCCGTGAAATCTTCTTCTTCTTTTTTTTTTTTTTTTTTTTTTAATCATCATCATTTGATTATTAATTAATTATACTTATTTCAGTGAAGTTTTTAGCTAGCTACCGTCAACAAGTTTAATGACTGTATCAGTCTATCAGCTCTTAAATTTATTTTTAATTTGGAACGCAAAGATTGGTAAATGCTGATATTTTTCTAACATTCTCTTTTACTACTTTTAACCCTCTCAGTTTATATGTTCTACATTTCCAATTTGTGTGTATTTCACTTTTTATTTCTCTTTTATCATGTTTTGTGTTACCTGGAGCTGAAATTATAGCACCTGTTTGGTAACTACTTTTGTTTTATATTTTTACTTTGATCCGAAACAAAAGCAGAATTTTAGAGTATATTTAATATTATTTCGAAACTTATTTGATAACGTAAATTTGTTGCAAGATTTTTGAAAGCAAAAATATGAAAGCATGTTTGGTAAAAATATGTCGTTAATTTTGAAAAATTAAATAGCTAGTTAAAAATATCATTTTACAAAGAAAAAATATATAACAGTGTTTTTGTTACAGTGCTGAAGTAACCAAAAACTTAATTTTTAGGTTTTCGATTTTGACTACTTTTTCTAAAGTACTTCGATACTATTCAAATGATAATAAACATTGTCAAACATGTTTCGTACTTTTACTTCGTTACATCACACAAACAAAAACAAAAAATACAAGACAAAACCTATTGCCAAAAACAGCCCATAATTAACACCATATTGTTGTATTGTTAGTCACACTATCTGCCCGTCTAACTAAACAAATAAAAATTGGTGAATCTCTTTTGGTACTGGTCTAAGCTCCTGTAGGCTTTGTTTGGCCAGAACAAAACCTTCTAGGGTTGTCTATTTGTAATGCCTGGGCCTGGCCCAATTTAAATTTTGCCCCATTGTCCATTTTTCTTTGGGCTTTTTGCCTCCTCTACCCATCTAACTAACAAAGAAAAATTGGTGTTTCTCTTTATCAATGGCTACTCTTTTGTATTGCTAGTCACTTTCTGCCCATTTTCAAAGCGGACACAATTCGAGTCTAGGTGTGAACAAAAGTGTATGTTCTAGTGTTTTTGCCAACGAACAATGTTATAATTCCATAGCTGTTTTTTAATGCATAGGTTCAGATTTAATTTTTTTATTTTTTTGCTTCGTTTTTGGGCACCAAGCTTACCTTCAAATTTTTTTTTAGCTTCGCCAAGCTTACCTTATAGTAGTATCACCTCTCCTTTTTTGTGTTTGACATTAAGGATACGTTTGATACAGTAAAAAAGAATAAAAAAATAATAATATTAGTTAGGAGAAAAAAAGAAATGAAAGAATACTGCTAACTATTTATTGGTGTTTGACATATAGGGTATGTTTGGCTACTATGTTTTAGAAGCGAATGAAAATGAAATCATTTTAATTAATTACAACCATACCCTTTTTCATAGATTTTGTCTTTTATAAAAATAAAGATAAATCTAGTATTAACAAAATTTCATTAAAAATACTAATCTTTACTTCCTCTTCCTTCCATATCCTTTTATTTTTGGGTATCCATCTAAATCCTTTCTTTTCCTTTCAACATTTCATACTAAACACAATTTTTCATCTTCATCCGTTACAATGAAACTTTAAACTAAAGAGTATTTTATTGTGAGAATTATTACAGGACTTATGGCAGTGAATTTAATTGTGCTTTTAAGAACTAATAATATTTTATTGTGAGAATTATTACAGGACTTATGGCAAACTTTATTAGGCATATAAGGGGAAATTTCTAAGGGATAGCAAACAGAGCATATAGGTCAAAACAGAGCAACACTTCAGTTTGTTTCACAATTGCTCTCCACATCCAATCCGCTATATAAAACTTTAAAAATTTTATATTTGACTTTATTTTTAACCAATTTCAATTAATAAAATGATCCATTGTTTTGTCAAAGTCAAGTAGTAGTAAATTGCAATCAATCAGCTAGCTTATTCAACGAACAATCATCATGCATATCATTAAATCAAGCAATCCTCTAAATCATAAAGGCTTATTATCAAACATTTTTGTTCCGCTTATAATCTCCGTCCACGTTGAAAATGAATTTTTTTTTTTATATAAATAATATAAAATTTTAACTATCCTTATATCTTACCAGATTACATTAGATATTAGAAACTGAGTCCAAAACCACAACAAACTAACTTGTCTATCTAGGAGGCTCCACTCGTGAATCAAAATCAAGTTACAATACGAATCCAAAAAGAATTTTAACCACAACCCAATATAATAACACACATATAAAAGATTTTTACCGAATCAAAAATAGGTCAAGCAAATTAAGAACGTGTGCACGTGCAAATGAAAACAATAAGAATTGCACAAATACCGTAGCATAAGTTTTAATATAACACGAGAGGAATGCCGTTAATTAAGTTTAAATAGAGTAAAAAGGGATACATGTATAATTACTTCTAGTGCCAACCATTTTGCTACACATTCATAAAAAAACATAAAACAAAGATACAACATTTATTTTTTGACTAGTGTTATCATTCCCCTCACAAACAATGTGTATTATTTTCCTACAAAATTAAAAAGGGCATAAGCATTAATTTTACAATGTTGTAGTTCAATAGCTGTTTTCAATGGTATTAAAATTTCAGGTCACAGAAAACATGATAAAAGTGAAATACATATAAATTTGAAATAGATAAAGAGTTAAAGTAGAAGAGCTGTATTTTAAGGAGGCATTATCAATTAAGTAGTAACAGAACCAAACAAAATATATATATTATCAATCAGTAAACCTAACATTAGAACATCAACACTATATATGTATTTTGAATCTCATGTCATTGCTATAATTTAATTCCTCTCTGTAAAAACGTTTTATTTACTATTATATTAAGAGGATGATTGGTGAATGAAAAAAGAGTTGTTGTTTTCAGGCTTTAAGAAGCTGGGTCAAAATTATGACTTGGGTCGGATTCAACCTGAGTCCACAACCCAGATTCAGATCGGGGTTTGTAGTATGTGGCCCTTTTTGGCTTTTGATATGTTTAGTAATGATAGATTTAGAAAGAAGAAAGGGCATTACCCAATAATCTATTTGTAAAGCGTCTAACTCCATCTACATCTATATCAGTTTTTTTTTATAGAAGAGAGACCCATTTATTCGGCATCGAGTGGCTAACCTGCCCAGGAATGACAACAGGGCGGAGTTGGGATTGATTTGACAAGTATTATTTTCCTGCAGGAGGCATCCGCGTTAATTATACAATGTTGTAATTGAATAGCTGTTTTCAATGGTATTAAAATTTCAGCTTCCAACAAAGGGTCAAAGAAAACATGATAAAAGTGAAATACATAAAAATTGGAAATGGAAAATAGATAAAGAGTTAAAGTAGAAACAGAAAATTTTAGATGCACTTTTAGAAGACCTAAAAAAAAAAAAAAAAAACCAGGATTAGGAACACCTCTACGTCCAGCTCCAAGATTAGGAACATAAGATGGAGGATTAGGGCTAGGATACACCACGGGTGACTTTGCCATCACAACATTCAAAAGCCTTCCTGCTGCTACTGCTAGAAGAGGCAGATTCATCACCAAGAAAATGATCATCATCAATTTTCCAACCTTCCCAACACTACCCATTGTAGTAGTATGAAATATGGAGGGAGAGAGAGTTTTTATGTAAGGAAAATGAGAACCAAGTGCAAGTGTTTAGTTTTATTTGTTGAACCCAGACGTTTTAAACTTTTACTGTTTTAAAGCCATTCAATGTTGCATGTTGCGTCATGCGTGCGTACATATTTTCGTTATTAAAAATATAAAATATAAAAATATAAGACGTTTTACATTGCATGTTGAATGTCAGCAAATTTATATTAAAAATATAAAATATAAAACAAAGAAAATGACATGGTCTGCTTGACACTATGATCATGCGTGGAAAGGCCAATAAAAATTTAAGTAAAATTGATATAATCTTTAAAAGTCTCACAACAAAAGGAGTGTTTTTTTTTTCGAAAATTAAAGCAATTTTCATTGAATAAAAGAATTTACAAAAAGGCCTTTAGGTCCAAAGATGAAGAAAGCAAACCAAAGCTTGAGACAAGGCTAGGAACAAGCCCAACACGGAAACGTTACAAGACTGAGAACAAGCCCAACAAGGGAACATTACAACCCAGGAAGTAACTACCAGTAACTGCAATAGCCATTGACAAAGGCTAAAAAACAATCCGGTGACATTGCAGCAGCGGCAAACCGCCGCGAGTTAGTCCGGAGGACGAGGAGGGGGTCTGCAGCAAGACGGAGAGAGGTTCCAATCCATTAGGATAGATCTGGAAGAGGAGCAGTCCCGGAGGCATCCCAATTTCAAAATTGAAGAGATGATAGAACATATCTTCGAGCATACAATCCTTTGAGAGGCCACCTTTCTTTTGAAGATTCTGGCGTTACTCTCCTCCCAGGTATGATATACTAAAGCTAAAAACCCCAATTTCCTGTGCAGATTGACTAAGGTATTAACTTTCCATTGAATACTTGCCCATTAAACTAGAGGTTCCCAGCTCCTAATAGCTGTGTGGATGCTACACATGTATTTGATAAAACGCCACAAAGGAGAGGTAAAGGGGCAGTTTAAGAAAATGTGGTCATGGGATTCGGTGGATAAGCGACATAGAGGGCAAATATTGGTATGGCTTGACATAGATTTATTATCTAGTGTTGGCAATTTGGATTGGACTGCTAACCAAAGGATGAACTTCATTCTAGGAATAGTTGTGGATTGCCAAACAAGGTTGTGCCATGGAACATTTGGGAGGTCCCCTACCAAATAAGAAACTGTGTGGCTGAATGAGTACTGTCCTGTAGGAAAAGCAATCCACCTTTTGGTGTCCCTTGTAGATGAATCAGGTGCAGGAAGGTTAGCCAATTCTGGGATAGCATTAGTGAGGAAGATGGGAAAGGCCCAGTTGTTGTTAATAATGAAGTTGTCCACTGTTATATCTTCATGTAATCCTCCCTCAGACATTAGTGACCTTGGGAACCTTAAGGATAAAGGACCCCCTGGAGCCCAGTTATCCCATTAGAAAGCAGTGTCAACCCCATTGCCAATAGAATGCTTGATGAGACCCTTTGCAGTATGTCTTAATTACAGCATTTTTCTCCAACTCCAGGAGCATGGCTGAGGGAAGTTAAGAGTCCACATGTTCCTAGCTTTGAGGAGGTGGGAATGGCACCAATTAACCCATAATCTGTTGGAGTTGTCTGTTTGTAGATCCCAGATGAATCTCAGAATACCAGCCTTGTTAGCTATTTCCAAATTAGGGATCCCCAACCCCCCTGCAGGTTTAGGAGAACATACCTTGCCCCAAGCAACCTTCGAACCTGAAGTCTTTAATTCTGGTCCAGACCAGAGAAATCTTCTGAAAATTTTATTTAACTCATCAATTACCCCCTTAGGAAGGATGAAGATGTTGCACCAGTAATTTTGGGTAGAGACAAGCACAGACTTGATTAATTGCAGTCTACCTGCATAAGATAGAGACCTTGATGTCCAGTTAGTAACTCTGTGGGTAATCCTGCTTACCAGTAAGCTATAATGCTGAGCTTTAAGATTAGTAGAAATGAGGGGCACTCCAAGATATTTCACTGGGAGAGTTGCTGCCTGAATGCCAAGTAGAGAAGAGATCTCATATTGAGTGTGATCATGAACTCTTGAGAAATACACTGCACTTTTAGATAGGTTGATGTCAAGTCCAGACATAGAACAGAAAAGATCAAGTGCTGACTTTAGGACTGAAACTGAACAAATATCTCCATGGCAAAACAGAAGTAGGTCATCAGCATAAGATAGGTGAGTGATTTTTTGCTCTCTGCACCTCCAGTGGTACTTGAAAAATGAAACTCTATCACATAGTTGGTGATGATCGAAGAAAAAGCATCCATAACTAAGACAAACAGGAATGAGGAGATGGGATCACCTTATCTTAGCCCCTCTTCCCTTTGAAATACCCTTGGAATTCACCATTCAGGGCAATGGTGAAAGATGGGGATAAGATGCAAGCATTAATCAGTGAAATAAACTTGGGAGGGAAGTTATGCAATGAGAGACAATTAATAATGAAGTCCCACTTCACTGAATCAAAGGCCTTCTTGAAGTCCACCTTGATTGCACATCTTGCAGGAGTGCCATGCTTGTGATACCCTCTTAGCAACTCATGTGCTAGTAGTATAGGGTCTGTAATCTTTCTGCCATGCACAAAGGCAGATTGGGCTTGATCAATGAGGAGTGGCAGTGTGGATTGAAGCCTAGTTGCAAGAAGTTTTGAAATACACTTGTAGATGGTGTTGACATATGAGATAGGCCTGTAGTCATGAAGAGAGGTTGGATTTTGGCATTTTGGTACCAAGGCAATGTATGTATTGTTGACCTCTGCTAGGAGCTTTCCGTTCCTGAAGAATTCTGAGATTGCTTTGATAATAGTCCTTCCCACAATATTCCAACACTTTTGAAAGAATGAGGCATTGTAGCCATCTGGACCCGGAGCTTTATCCTTATTAAGCTTCAACATACAGCTTTGAATCTCCAAATTGGATGGTGGATCCTCAAGGAAAGAGTGCATACTGGTGGGGACAACCTTGGAGATAAATGGAGCTAAGTTAGAGATGTGGTGAGTGGGAGGGGGAGATTGACCAAGCAGGGATTGGAAATGATTGACCACTTGAATTTTAATATCCTCCAAATCATGAATCATCTGACCATCATCAAGAATTAAGGAAATAATTTTTTTTCTTATTATTTCTTGAGCTGAAAGATCTGTGGAAGTAAATTGAGTTGCAATCCCCCAATTTAAGCCAGGCCATCCTAGATTTTTGCCTCAAAATATCTTCTTGGATGTTTCCCAGCCTAAAAAATTCTCTAGTAAGGGCTCCTTCCAGCTCTTTGAGTGAAGAATCAATAGGAGAAAGATCAAGATCCATTTGACAAGATTGTAATTCAAGCTGAATTGCATGAATTTTAGAGTCCAACTCTGAAAATTCTTTCCCACAAGTAGTTCTTAGGACGGTTTTTAATTTGAACAACTTGAAACATAGCTGTTCCTTTAATGTGTGTGCTCCAAACCCCTTGTACTGAAGATAAGAAAAGCTTGTGTGATGACCAAGCATTAAAGAACCTGAAGGGGTACGCCTTTGTGGTTTGTTGATGTCAAGTGTAACCAAAATAGGGCTGTGATCAGAAATACCTAGGGTGAGGAAATTGCATTCTGAAATTGGAAAGGAGGATGTCCATTTTTGATTGACCAGAGCCCTGTCAAGCTTCTTAGCTATACATGCATCTCCCAAACTCTTGTCTGACCAAGAGTATAGAATCCCACAGAACTTAAGGTCCTCTAATTCAGCATTTTGGAGGCAGTCCTTGAAATCAGACATTGCAGTGCTCCATTTCATAGATCCACCATGCTTCTCTCCTATATTGGGAATGACATTAAAATCCCCCATTAACAACCAAGGGCCAGCAGCAAAGATTGTTGAGCAGTGGGTGATATCATCCCATAGAACCTGTCTTTCAGTGGCACAATTGGATGCATAGATGAATGATGTAAAAAAAGATAGATTCAGACCAATTACTGATATGGAGCAATGAATTGCTTGCCTGTTGCAATGGATAACTGATAAGTTAAGAATGTTGGGGTTCCAAATTATCCAAATTCTCCCTAGGTCAGAGAAAGGATAATTATGTGTAATAGACCATTGTGGAGCAATTTTCTTGTGAATTGCAGCCATATTTGAATGAGCCACTCTAGTCTCCACTATGGAGACTACATCTAATTTTTTCTCAGAAATTAATTTTTTAATTTCTGATTGTTTAGAGGGTTGGTTCAACCCTCTAATATTCCATGTGAGGGGAGAGATCAAAGGAAGGGTGGAGAGAAATGACCTCCAAGATACCCTGGGCTTCCTGAACCCTCATGCATCAACCCTGAAATGTTTGGTTCTTTCATTCTTGCAGCTTTTTTGAGACTTCTTGCAGTCAATGTCCCTTTCTGTAGTGGCTTGTTATAGCTCCATGGATCACTCAGAGAAGATGAAGCCAGAAGGGGTGGGTTGAAGAGGTGATTGTTGGCCATTGCAGCCACTAGAGTATGTAATGGTGGGGTAGCATGGCTCTGGGCCATATCTGTGTTCTTGGAAGGACTGTATTTCTTAGAAAGAGGCATGTATTTTCTGCGGTTTTTGTGTTGAGGGACTAAGTTTGGTAGACTACTGGTGTGGTGGAGGGGACTGTTTTTGTATTGGGGTTGTGGCATGGAAGATGTATGGAGGCTGTGAAGAGATGTTGTAGTGTTTTTTAGAGATGAGAAGTTTAGTTTCCTACTACAGAGGGGGGAATGAGGTAGGGATAGTGATGCTGTATAGGACAGAGTTTCAGTGATGGAATTACTCACCATAGTGTTGCTAGTATTGTTTGAGGAGAGAATTTGTACCGGTGAAGGTGTGTCAAGGATATTAGTGTCAAGGTGATGATGCTGAAGTGGTGAGAATTGATTGGAAGTTGAGGGCTTGTGGGAGGTTGGTGTTGATGGTTTATTGACAATTGAGGTGCCTTTGTTCTCATCACCTCCTCACATTGAATCAGCCAAAAAGATCAGCAAGCATTCCTTCATTGCCAATCCAACTGTCAACTCATGTCCTTTACCCCTGCATATTGAGGTTTTTGAACCTCCACTCCCACCTTTACTGAATGGCAAACTTTCAGAACACTACCCTCAACCAACCACCAAACTGGTCAGGCCAAACCTTCCTCTAAGCAACCCATCTAACATAGCATCTAGCTCTAAACAACCAACCCCTGCCAAAATATCAAAACCACAGCATACAACACCTGCCACATTCCCAAACTCCATACAATTACTGCACAAAAACCACCAGACCAATGTATCCTCCAACCTACAAACAAACAAAATCCCAAAAAACACTCAGATCATCACAAGGTCATCGAAGCCACCATTACACAAGAAGCAGCCCACAAAACATGATCTTACTCCATCACACACTTACCCTCCAGCAAACTTCAATCCATTACTCTATGACTCTCCTGGCCATCAGATTGAAAGACTCCAAGAGCAACTACAATGGTCTGAAGAGAACTTGAGTAAATCAATGGATATGCACTATGAAAAAAATAAGACAATTTCTGAATTGAGAGATGAAGTTTCAAAACTCCGGTCATTGATTCCTCTGTCACATTCACTTCCAGCTACCTCCTCTTCCACCGAGGTCACATTCACCAAGACTCCACCACCAGCAGCGGCAGTAACAATAGAGGTCCATTCTCCACCAACAATCTCTACCATCACCTCTCCCCCAATAGCTGTATTACATCACCATCCACCACCTATAAACTCCACAACCACCATCTCTGCCACTGCAACAGAGGCTCCACCATTGTTGGCCACAGGTTCAAATTCAAATTTGAATTTCAAATCTCTAAGTTTGGTCAATTCTACTTTGCAGGCTACACCAGAACAAATTGCCTAGAAAGGAAATAATTTCACATGCTTTTCAGCTTGTCTCACCCCAGCTCCCAACTTTAAGCACAAAATAGTTGACCATCCACCACCACAATTAAAATTACCAACCCCAACTTTATTCACAGATAGCATAGCTACTGTTCCAGCACTGACACACCCTATAACACTGCCACACCCACTCACCAGTCAATTTTCGCTCCCTGACAAACAGCCACAAGCAAAGTCTTGGTCCAATGTTGTAGAACATGGGACAAACAAAATGAAGTTTGTTTACATAGCCCCCTCCTTTGATAATCCCTACATCATTAATCCTCCAAAAGAGGTGGTATATGAAGGATTGAATTTTTGGTCTTCTTACCACTTAGTGGGATTTTCCATTCACAAAAAATTACCCTTCAAGGTAGTTCAAAATGCTGTAGCTAAATTGTGGAAACCCTTTGGGTTAACTGACACCATCCTAAGAGAGAACAACTCTTATATTTTCAGGTTCAAATCTTCATCCGAGGTGGAAAATGTGTTATCTCATGGTCCATGGTCAATAGTTGGCCACCCCTTCTCACTTCAGAAATGGAGTCTGAACAACCAATCTCAGCCTACTGAAGCAGGATGTCTACCTATATGGACAAAATTTTACAATGTTCCACACAATTACTGGACAGCTAATGGCCTAAGCCTCATTGCAAGTGCTGTAGGGGAGCCACTCTATGCTGATAAAGCCACAGAAACAAGAACCAAGCTGAAATTTGCAAGAACAAAAGGAGTGTTGCTTTCATACTTTGTGCTAGTATTAAATCTAATGACCTTTGCTCTACTAGAAACAAGAGAGTACTACTTTATCTATATATATATATATATATATATATATATATATATATATATATATATATATATATATATATTGATTGCAAAGTTTTGGGTCCACATTAATTGAACACGTCTTTTGATCAATTAGACTTTTTTTGCCATTTAAGTGCAAATAAAAAATGTCAAGAAGATTCGGCTAAGGTGAACGCTACCTTATTTGCCTGACATAAAGTATCAATAAAATATAAGATTAGAAGCAGTTGTTGGTGAGGAAATACCAAGACTTCAAAGATATGAAGTGCGGATATCATACTATACGAATGCGGTGATACGATAAATTTTTTAAAAATATGATACGGATATGACAAGAATATGGCAATAAAATAATATATATATTTATTTTTATTTTTATTTAATTTTTAATTTATATTTAATAAACACAACTTTTAGGCCCATTATTTTATTAAAAAATATAAGCCCAAATACCTTAAAAAAATATAGTCCCAAATACTCAAATGCCCTAGAACATAAGATCACAATCTTATCACTTCTCTTTTTATTACCTATTTTTAAGCACTATCTTTAGGGAAGCAGAGGAAAAGCGCTAAAGAAGCCTTGTTTTGGGAATTTGTAGTCGTTAGAGTGCAAAAGGAGAGCTGATTCAAGGAATTTTCCTTGTCTCGTCTGGCTTCGCTTGAATCGGATCATCCTATAAACTAGCCCAGCCTTACTTGGTTGATCCGAAACTTGAAGCAGATATACAAAACCTGTAATCTCCGGTCTTCGCAATCGACTTTTTCATATTCTCCATCTCTCTATCTGGATCTGTTTTTTTTTTTTTTTTCTTTCTATAAATACACACAATCATAATCATTTTTATTAAATTTTTTAAGAACAAATAACAAAAATCAGTTCACCCTCACTAATTTTTAAGTTCAGTTCACCCTCACTAATTTTTAAGTTCACTCATTTTTTGTTTTTTTCAGTCAACCCTACTTTTTATTAGCTCACTCTCACTATTAGATTTGGTAAAAAGGACAGAATCATCCTGCAGTTATTGGCAAAAACGCGGCTTTGACAAAACACGTAATATAAGTCAACATTGTGTCAGATCAACAAATGATTTGTTGTGGAATATGGGTATATCCAATTAAAATATTCAACAGAATTTTCTTCTACTACTTTATTGCACCCACCGACATTGCAAACATCAACTATTCTGTTGATTAAGAACAGAATAGTATTACTATATGATTATATCAACTGATATACCTGCATGTATAGATATGCATATTTACCAAAAGCATACAAGCCGCACCATAAACAAGAGCTCTATACCACCCTATAGAAGAGCTATAGCCTGTAAACACATTTCCAATTAATCACTTGTTTCAGACAATAAGCAAAGATTCTGATTTTTCTTTTACTTCCTTTTTTTTGTTTTGGATAATAAGCATGGAACATATTGGTTTTTTTAATGTTTCTAGTCATCATCACTACACAGAAAGAACAACTTCCAGAACCAATATCAACAGAATATATATATATATATATATATATATATATATATCTATCATCTTTCTTCTCCTTACATTTCACAAGATAACATTCTTCTCCTACATTTCGCAAGAATAAATAAATAAGAATTGAAATGTCAGAATAAACAAAAACTTGTGTTAATTTAATTGTTCCATATGATATTGACAAACCTCTTTCTCTGCCTCAAAGAACTCCATTTTATATAACAATACATCTGGACAAGTAAATCATCACAACCATACAAGTTTATATATATCATAAAGGGATTCTGTTAAAATACTCGGCAACTTTTGATGGAAGATACAAAAAGCAGTGGAATATATATCATATAAATTGAGATGAATAGACATTTGTAACTGAGGTTGGCATCACAAATAATAGAAGTCCATTTTAATTAAAATTTCATTACAGTGTTTTTGAGAACCAAAAAGAGGTTTATAAAGTAATAGCATTTATAAAGTACTGTTTCCAGTTATACTACAATCAGAACCGGAAACAACTGCAGCAAGCTATTTAGGATAAGCTCATGGATAGATGTAAGATACAATTAAGACGGGGTGGTTTTACAACTCTCAAGTAGACCGCAATACCCCATGAAACAACACATATACACAGGGCTTGCTATGGTAGTGAATGATCCCAATAATGATATTCTGTCAAGTTGATATATTGAGACAAGAAGAGAAAATCAGGACAGCAAAACCTATAACCAAGAAAATTGAGGCCACAGGAATTTTATGGTTCCTACTAGTGGTGCAATACTTGAGACAACACACTAACACAACAAGAGATAAGTTGGTTAGGGTTTGTCTCAATCATGTTGCTAATTAAACGAGAAATAACCCTAATAGTATGAAATTTTAAGTAAATTAGTGTTGCCATGTTGTGTCATGTCAGGTCCTGACTCATTTATTATACAAGTGACACGTGTCGTGTTAGTCGACCCATACAAACATAATTCCCATGTCATGACACCACATGAATACAACATGATAACACAAATTGGCACCCCAAGTTCCTACCCTAACGCAACATGAGCATGGAGCCAGCAATTAAAGCACACACCATCTCAAACGTAAATATTAGATCTAGAAGACTATGTTGGGGACTAAGTAAATCATGTATTGAGGCAGGCTGGCAGCTATATATAGTCAATACATTGTGGAACTGTATACCAAGAAACAAGTTATTTAAATCCTAAGAGAAGCATCTACCAAGGCAACCAACATCAGGTTAACAGTGGCATGAGGTACTACAATACTACAAACTACAAACATCAAAGTGACATTGCCTACAAACCTTACCCATAAACATGAGAAGGAACCCGGCAAAGTGATCATGGTATAATATATATATATATGAAAATATTACTATTATACCATCCAACGAATTATATATAAGCTATAAACAACACCATAGCAAAATTAGAAACA